CTCCTTTGCTTGTTCAAAGTCACCTAAGTCCTGGTGAATTGAAGCTAGGTTACCGTAGCTTGTTGCAACAGAAACATGTTCATCACCAAGCTTCTTGAGTTCGATGGCTAAACCACGTTGCTGATACTCCTTTGCTTGTTCAAGGTCACCTACGTCCTGGTGAATTAAAGCTAGGTTACCGTAGCTTGTTGCAACAGAAACATGTTCAGCACCAAGCTTCTTGAGTTCGATGGCTAAACCACGTTGCTGATACTCCTTTGCTTGTTCAAGGTCACCTAAGGCCTTGTGAATTGAGGCTAGGTTACCGTAGCTTGTTGCAACAGAAACATGTTCAGCACCAAGCTTCTTGAGTTCGATGGCTAAACCACGTTGCTGATACTCCTTTGCTTGTTCAAGGTCACCTAAGGCCTTGTGAATTGAAGCTAGGTTACCGTAGCTTGTTGCAACAGAAACATGTTCAGCACCAAGCTTCTTGAGTTCGATGGCTAAACCACGTTGCTGAAACTCCTTTGCTTGTTTAACGTCACCTAAGTCCTTGTGAATTGAAGCTAGGTTACCGTAGCTTGTTGCAACAGAAACATGTTCAGCACCAAGCTTCTTGAGTTGGATGGCTAAACCAAGTTGCTGATACTCCTTTGCTTGTTCAAGGTCACCTAAGTCCTGGTGAATTAAAGCTAGGTTACCGTAGCTTGTTGCAACAGAAACATGTTCATCACCAAGCTTCTTGAGTTCGATGGCTAAACCACGTTGCTGATACTCCTTTGCTTGTTCAAGGTCACCTAAGTCCTGGTGAATTAAAGCTAGGTTACTGTAGCTTGTTGCAACGGAAACATGTTCAGCACCAAGCTTCTTGAGTTCGATGGCTAAACCACGTTGCTGATACTCCTTTGCTTGTTCAAGGTCACCTAAGTCCTGGTGAATTGAAGCTAGGTTACCGTAGCTTGTTGCAACATAAACATGTTCAGCACCAAGCTTCTTGAGTTGGATGGCCAAACCACGTTGCTGAAACTCCTTTGCTTGTTCAAGGTCACCTAAGTCCTTGTGAATTGAAGCTAGGTTACCGTAGCTTGTTGCAACAGAAAGATGTTCAGCACCAAGCTTCTTGAGAAAGATGGCTAAACCACGTTGCTGATACTCCTTTGCTTGTTCAACGTCACCTAAGGCCTTGTGAATTGAAGCTAGGTTACCGTAGCTTGTTGCAACAGAAACATGTTCATCACCAAGCTTCTTGAGTTGGATGGCTAAACCACGTTGCTGATACTCCTTTGCTTGTTCAAGGTCACCTAAGTCCTTGTGAATTGAAGCTAGGTTACCGTAGCTTGTTGCAACAGAAACATGTTCAGCACCAAGCTTCTTGAGAAAGATGGCTAAACCAAGTTGCTGATACTCCTTTGCTTGTTCAAGGTCACCTAAGTCCTTGTGAATTGAAGCTAGGTTACCGTAGCTTGTTGCAACAGAAACATGTTCAGTATCAAGCTTCTTGAGAAAGATGGTTAAACCACGTTGCTGATACTCCTTTGCTTGTTCAAGGTCACCTAAGTCCTTGTGAATTGAAGCTAGGTTACCGTAGCTTGTTGCAACAGAAACATGTTCAGTATCAAGCTTCTTGAGAAAGATGGCTAAACCACGTTGCTGATACTCCTTTGCTTGTTCAAGGTCACCTAAGTCCTTGTGAATTGAAGCTAGGTTACCGTAGCTTGTTGCAACAGAAACATGTTCATCACCAAGCTTCTTGAGTTCGATGGCTAAACCACGTTGCTGAAACTCCTTTGCTTGTTCAAAGTCACCTAAGTCCTGGTGAATTGAAGCTAGGTTACCGTAGCTTGTTGCAACAGAAACATGTTCAGCACCAAGCTTCTTGAGAAAGATGGCTAAGGCTCGTTGCTGATACTCCTTTGCTTGTTCAAAGTCACCTAAGTCCTGGTGAATTAAAGCTAGGTTACTGTAGCTTGTTGCAACGGAAACATGTTCAGCACCAAGCTTCTTGAGTTGGATGGCTAAACCACGTTGCTGATACTCCTTTGCTTGTTCAAGGTCACCTAAGTCCTTTTGAATTACAGCTAGGTTACCGTAGCTTGTTGCAACAAAAACATGTTCAGTACCAAGCTTCTTGAGAAAGATGGGTAAACCACGTTGCTGATACTCCTTTGCTTGTTTAAAGTCACCTAAGTCCTTGTGAATTATAGCTAAGTGATTGTACCTGGAGGCAACATCGACATTTTGGTCACCCACCAGCCTGATGCGAAGAGCGAGAGACCTTTCCAAGTATGTCTTTGCCACGTTAAATTCGCAGTGCATTTTACATGTGTCGCCAAGATTCGACAATTTTTCAGAAATGTCCTGAACATGGACTTGAGAGATATTTTCTGCAATAATAACTGCATTAATTGGTACAATAAGGGCACTTACGTGCGGAATGATGTGCATGGTGTCCATTCTTCTATTTTCGTGTGGAATTGTGACTATAAATTTGTTAAACGATGTAACAGCTTCACTTACAACCTTGATCGTTTGATTCTCTGTACATTCACTCATCACCCATTTCATTGCGTCGTGCACAACCTGATGTACACGAATGTAACAGCAACTATCTCCTTCCTCTAAAAGAAGCAGTGAACATCTTTTGAATCTCCTGCGAAGTTGTTCCTTGTCCCCTTTGTCATCGTGTTCGAGAACGTTTATAAGGTAACTAACCGCTATGTCAACGTTTAATGGTTGTGGTGCGCACAGGGAAAGAAATCTGAATAGGTGTTCAAAAAACTTGTCGGATTTGACTTGTGCTTCGACAGCTAACGTTATTGCTGTAGTCATCGTATTTGGATAAATCGGGTTGGTGTCAGCTAGGGTATCTTCGGTTGTTTCTCGTTTTCCGTTTTGTAAAATCTTTAGGTATTGGTCCCAGCCAAAATGCTTCGATGCTTTGTCCTGTCGAATGTCTTTGACAAACACAGCCGCGCCTGCTAAAGCAAGTGGCTGATAGTCCAGTTTCTGGGCAACGTTTTCTGCTGGCTCTATGTCGAAGACGCCAGAAAGCTTGGCCAATAAGGAAGTGGCATCGTAAGGATTCATTCCTCGGCTTACTGAAATGTGATTGATGAAAGAGCTTTTTAAAGGGATGGACTTTGTATCTTGGGTTGTAATTAACAACTGACCTCTTGCCCACGTCTCGGTTCCAGACTGTGGTAGGTGATCGTGTACAAAAGTCAGATTAGTCACATTGTCCACCACCATTAGCCAAGACGTGTAACACCGAATTTTTGCAGCAATAAGCGTCTTGAGATTGGTAATCTTGTCCTCAATGTTCCAATCCTTAGAGCTCAAGGTTTGCATCACTGAAAAGTCTGGGCACTTTAACTGACGAGCAAAATTAGCATATGACTTCAAAAGTGAATCTTGACTGGCAGCGTTTATGGTCATCACAAAGGAAGTGCCTGGTATTTCTTTTACTTCATCAAAGAATCTTTCAGCTACGAGGCCAGCTAGTTGTGATTTGCCACTTCCTGGATTCCCTGAGATGTACAGATAACTCAACCTGTTCTCGTTGGCCTTCTTTAGTTCCTTTAGCTGATGTGCTATTTCTGCTACTTCCCTTTCACGGCTTTCAATTTCGTGTGTAGGTTTAGGAGGGAGAATACAGAATGAAGGCGCTTCTTTCTGAAGCTGGTCTGCAAGAACCTGGCGCTGTTTCTCTTTTTGTTGAAGTTCTTGTCTAACATCGTCAACCTCTTTCAGAATGTTATCTAATTCGTCCGTTGGGAAAGTTTTCTGATTTTTTATCCCGTCAATTTTTACAGTAGAGAGACCAAGCGCATGGAACGCAACATGAACTTTGCCAACGGCATTCTGAAAATCTATCTCAGGGAGACTTCCCTGTAGTATGTGGGCGAATTCCTCGTTTCTAAATTTTCTAAGATCATCCACATTGTTTCTGACTGTTGATGCAAGGTAGGGCCCGACACAACCAGAGTAAAGGATGGCGTAAAACAGCATTGTGCAATCCCATTCCCCTCTGTTTCCATTTTTCATGGTGGCCAAAGGACGAGCATTTCTTCTTTGATTTCTTGGAGACTCGCCGTTGTAAAAGTCCGTTCCATTCTGGGCCACATCTTTCCATTCTCCCAATGGTGTTGATTTATATTGATTGTCCCATTCACGTTTAAAAAGCTCTCTGAGGCCTTCGGCTAGTATATCAGTGGTTATATAACAAATTCTGAAGTAGTTCAGCTGTTCTTCGGTGTAGTTCTTTGAAAGGGCCATATGTGACAAAACGCTGAGGCTTGGAACCTTTGGAAAAAGAAATCGAGGAACAAGAAACAACTTGATGAACGTTGTACATGTAGGGAAAAGAAATACCGGATCTCTTAATATGATTTAAGCAAAATAACTTCTGTTGTTCTAAATTGTTGTTAAGTCGATCGATGTCAATCAGCAAAGTCTCATTTACTAAGTATAGCAGGTGTTCTTTGGATGAGTATTTTGAGAAACTTTTCAATCTACGCCAACAAGGAAAAAAATATGTTGCCCGAAAAGGCGAAAATAGCTGACGTAAAATGCTTTACTTTTAAACTTGCGCTCGTTTTTGCATTTTAAGAATAGAATCGAAGATCTTTTAAGAGACATATGATAAGGAAGTCGACTATGGTTGAGGCACTGATGTGAATTGCAGCAACCACAGGTAGCCCAAGCTTACTATGAGAACCCGGAATTTATCGCCGCCGAGAGCGGAGCCGGTCAAGAGAGGTTTGCCAACCTTCTCTTCTCTTCTCTCTACTGTCATCTGGGTGGAAAACGGTCGCTCAAAAACAGGCATTAAATAGTGCCTAGGAGGGCTGAAATACAGTCAGAATAAAAAGAAAAGCAATTAGACGTTAAAGGTGAGCTTCAAAGCGATATTCAATGACATTTTGCTAATTTAGTGAGCAAAGAATATTTCTCCATACAACGTCTTATAATTTTCTTACTGTACGAATAATTAATTAGCTTGATGGGTAGTGTTGTTTTCGGGTTCTTGGCATCCTGAGAGGTCTGAAACGCAGTCAACACACAAGTAAATGTAACAAAATGCTAAAAGGAAAAATTTAATGTACGTTTCGCTCAGTTATGGAGAAATCGGATAATTTTCATACAACGTCTTATAACTGTTGTCGTATTTACAATTAATTAGCTAAGTAGGATAATGTTGTTCAGGGTTCTCATAGTAAGCTTGGGCTACCTGTGCAGCAACATGATTAAAATCGTGCCGAAATTCGTGTTTTCAAAAAACTGTTTAATATTCATCATCTGTAAACTTCCTTAATATATTGTTACTTTTATCAATTTCCTTTGATAGTAATTGTATCCGTCGCCGTAATGTATGGTTCATCTTCGAAAAATTGTGATTGAGGCCTAGTTAACATCATGAGCTTTATAGTTTCCTTTAGGCCTCCTCGCCATTACTTTCTACACTTGTATTTTTTTGTTTTTGTAATCATGTAATTTATCTGTGTGACAAAATAAATACAAAATCAGGATACAAATAGAAAATATAAGCTTGAGCGCAAGCACGGTTTAGGAGTTGATTTAATTTGAAGAACGGAGTTAAGTCTTCTTTCTGTTCGTCTGTGGAGGATGGAAAGAAGGGCAAAGGAAATAAATGAAATCAAGAAAGAAAGGTTGAAATCGTTTGGCATCATGCGCTAAAAACAAAATGCAGAACTCTTAACTAAATCTTAGACGTGCTGCAATCTCATTTTTAGCCATTTCCATGAATAGAGCAATTGGTGAAAAAACCGGTTCGAAAAGAAGGATTGTCTCTATCTTCTGGACACTAAAGCTTATTTAAGCGAAGACGGAAAGGATTTTATTTAAAATTGTAAAAATAAGCCCACTGAGGCGCTTTCTGAGTGGCAGTAAGGTAATTGCAAAGTGCCAGCACTGAAACGTGACTGACTTTAATCTAAACAATTCGACATTACAATATCTTAAACCAGCGCACCTATTACGGATTTGAATTTGAAACATTGATCCGTTTCGCTTTGACCCTGAAGAACTTAGAGACTGACAACAAACACAGTATTTACTTCGAAACCCTTATAACTATGGGACGGATGTCACTTTAGTTCAGCTGGCCAGTTTGACGGAACGATTCCAGACAGAGGACAAACAGCAAATTCAACAGAGACCGTGGTAACGTATGAGGATTAAAATTGCTGAACGAGGCTGTATTGGACGAAATTCGACAAAAGTGCAGAGGAGACAGGAATTATCTAAAGTTAAGTAGAGTGGATTCTGTTTTCGAGAGAAGCGATACAGAGCTCTTAAAATTACGGCAAATGTAGGAAAGTGGATGACCTCAATGAACCTGAACTCATACTACTTCGTATGTCTTGTATCGCTTATTTGAGGCTCAGCGGATTCTTTACAATTCATAGAGTAGGTGAGATTCATCAAATGAAAACTGCTGTGTGATGTAAAATCCCCCTTCAGTCGTTGGTAAGTTGTAGCTATCCAATATTCCCCTTTTCCCCAAACAAACCAAGTTTAGTTCAACTCTCTCTTTCGTCCTTTAGGGTTTTAGTTTTTTCTCCAAAAAAGCCGGGTTAAAAAATTATTGCGAAGGTGTAGGTATTTTCCTGATATAATGTGCGCGTACGGTTTGAAAATCAAAAAACTTTGACCCTCCCGGCCTTCTACGTTCGAGTCTTCGGATTCTTCCACGAAATAGATAACCCACTGAGAGTTCCAGTTGTGCGCGATAGTATTTACAGGCTGAACTAAAAAAGAAAAGAAGTCGACGTTTGGATTTACACCTTTGTACTTCTCGTTAATACTTTTTATTCAGTTTGACCACATCAGCTACGCTGTAAACGTATCATGTTTAAATAAAAGATGTTGTTGTTGCTATTACTGAATCAGGCAGCCTGCCTTTATAAGAAGTTTTGAAGGTTTCTTCTATTAGAGGTAGGGATCGTAACTCCCTGCTGCTTATTCATATTCACGGTATTCCTTCTACAGAAATGTCGTTAAATTCACTATCACTAATTGCTATCCTGTTAAATTATTTTTCAGGCACACCTTATAACCTATGTATCACCAAAATAAATCTATGACTGATCGCTTTTTTTCTAAAACTGTGCGATTTGGTTTGCCCTTATGTACATTGTTAACAACTTGCTTGCAATTTTCTTACCATTGTTCCTACAACAAGAAAACTTTGTCATACAGCCTAACGTCTTCCCTTTTACCTACGAACTTTGCCAAGCGAAATGGTCGCCTTCAAGTTTGTGGCTCAAACGCGTTGCAAAACACACATTTGCTCACCCAGTTTCAGGTATTCTTTACCATGTATTGCTTTTTATCATTATTATTTTCATTATTATTATTTTCACAGACTAAACTAATAGAAGCCTCCTCAAATGTGTCGCCGATAGACATTGGTTTTTGTCACCTGAGTACAATTTTCTTCATTTTCCGAAGATAAACATGTTCGTTCACTGATTTGTTAGCTGATCGTCGTCCCAATCGAAACAGTGCATTTTTTTCAACCTGGCATGAGACAAGTCGAGTTTTTCATGATGAGGATCGACAGTTATTGAAATCAGCAGATATTTTTATCAGAAGCTAATTGAACGTTATAATATTTATCTAAGGATTAGTTTAAATTTAGTTTTCTTTTGTTCACGTTCTTCAATTCCGTGTGACCCCATTTTGAAGATCAACACGGTTCATGCCTTGAAATTGTTATTTACTTTCACCAGGCTTGATTGATAAACAAATGGGTTAGCTTAGACTATTCAGTGCAACTGTTTTTTAACTTTACACGAAGAAGTATCAAGATCTAGCCGCCAGAAAGTGAACAAAGGCAGGATCCACGTCCTTAGCAAAACTGGAAACAATAACAAACATGACGGATGGAGCCAAATGCCTAACATTTAGTGTCATTCACGGGAAAAAAAATTCTCAGGCCAGAGATCTTATAAAAAATAGATATTAATAATGTGTACAAACCTTAATGACAGGCAGCAAGTGGATGTTTGGTTTGATTTGTATCTGTTGCAAGAGATACAGTTGTGTTAGTTGGAAAAATTCGGATCAAAACTGTTTCTTTTGATTCAATCTAGCAGAGTTTTTTGCTTTGTAGGTAACCTCTAGCTTTCATTAAATGGTGGTTTTTTAGTCAGCTTCTTTCACGTGATATACTCACGTGAAAAGCTGTGTAGATTTTCAAGCTTAAAATAAACAGTCTTTAAAAAAGTGCCACGATTATTGTCGGTAAGCAACTTTTAAGCAAAGAGGTAAAAATCTTAACTAGTATGAACGGAAGCTAACTCATACGTAAGATACTGCATACTGCGAGTAGTTAGTGAACAACTAACGTTTAAAGATCTTAAGATACGATGAAAGGAAAAGTCGACACACTCGCAACAAGATTATAAAATATCCATAAGGGAATGTGTATTTCTTGTGGGTCAAAGTCCAGCAAAAGTATCTTTTTTTGATTTGTTGTTTTGAAAAAGAGCTGGCAACATGTACTGCGCAACTAAAATAATCTGGCAAACTTTTCAGATCGATAATGGAAATTGTTTTTTAGCATATTATAAGCGAGCATAAAACAATTATCTGAAGGAGATTAGAAATTGAAAAAAAAAACTTTTGCTAATACATAATAGTTTCCTTCCTGCGTGTTAAAAGCGTACCTTGTTGCTCTAAATAGCACACTAACTTTCGAACACTTCCTGTTGTTTTCAGTGACGAAGCAGTCATATTTTGAATAAATGAGTAAGATCTTCATTTGAAAGAAAGTACACAGTGGAATGGATGTAATTTTAAACCGGTGAAACGAACGCAAAGGGTCATTTTTTGAACTCTAGTTTGATGATGACTTCACCCAAGAAGTGAAACTTCAGTCATAAATTTCACGTTGCGCAGATCCTCTTTACAGTTAGTCTCGGTGCCCAGAAAACATAAAACCCTGTGTTTGTCTGGAATTTTTGTCGAGCGCCAATGGAACATAACATTAACTCAAAGTATTTCGTGATGTCGAGTTCTAAATTTCATGACAAAGGTTTTCTTTTTTTTTTTATTAGCTGCCCAAACACTTAAATTGCGTAAGTGCTCTTAGTCTAGTAATCTTATATCGACGAAACGTCTGAAACAAAATCAGGAGGTGAAAAATTGAACTTTATTTTTGTTGATGACTAAACGCATAAAGAAAGCTTCATAACTCTTCATGAAATAGACCCTGTCACTGTTTTGGAAACTATCTTGCCCGATTTGAC